CTCGTGATGCTTGCAAAGCCATGCCATGCTCCCCACAATGCAGTTCGGCGAAGATTAAAAATCTTCTACGTCACCCCATTCAAGTGAATGGGCGAAGCGTTGAAAGCATTTTTCGATGCATGTAGTGTAGACGGGCCGTTAGACAGTCACAAGATGGAGGAATAGAAAGCAGTATTCAATGTTTACTTCAGATTAGCTCCACGTCAGAAATGATCATGCTTGTCATATGTCTCTCTCCATAGAGGCTGAATCATCATGTTAATCACATAGCTATCATATGCCTCAAACAGTCCTGATGCTCTTCTAGGTCATCAGACATCCTGTCATGTTCACAGCTACAGTTGATACCTTTGTTAGCATGTTGCTCTCATGTTGGAAGAGGACATTCAGTGTTTTCCTAACAGGAAGTTGTGTTTCTCTCCTCTCTACCAGGGCCACAGCCTCCATGTTCCTGGAGAAGCAGAAGCTGAATGTGGAAGGCATGGTGTCTGGGTTCGAGGAGAAATTAGCCAAAGAAGGCGCCATTTATGATCAACCGAATGCCCTCCCGAGTCGCAACCAGCAGCTGCAGGTGTGGTACTTATAAAAGGAAAAAAATCAAAGATTTAACTTTTTAATTTCAATCTTTATTGTCACATTATACATGGCAATAACATGCTGGTTACAAAAACATTACAATGATGTAACAAAAGGCCAATAAGGCAATACAAAATACAAATAAAAGAAAAGGCTAGGGATATGTCTTCATGTTATTATATTCTTGAAGATACATGTGTCTATTGTTCCAGTCAAATGCCTTTGCTTTGAGTCTTCCCACTTTCTGTTGAGTTGTGTTTCTTGCAATCTCCGTTTTTCCATCAAAAAGATTTCTTCCACAATTGTTAAAGATTTAACAATTTCAGGTGCAAACAAGTTCGTAACCTGTCTTTATCCTTATGCCGAACAGCTTCTGCGTCAGGACGTCACCGCCAAGAAGGATGAGGTGACTAAACTAGGCAGAGACTTGGACATGACGGAGCAGTCCTGCAGCTCTTTGCAGCGGACATTCAATGAATACTGTCCGGACATCCGCCGCCAGGAGAATGAGGTGAAACAGCTGAAGAACCGCTACACGTCTGTCAATAATCAGCTCCAGGAAAGGTGAGTCAAACTAAATGCAAGCTGTAACTGTGTTTGTGGTTTTTTGAGTCCCGACTTGTTGAACAATGGACTGTTTTTCATATTTCACTCTAGGTCTGCCCTCTTAAAGCAATCAACCAATAAAAACCAAGATTTCCAGAATGCTGTTCAGGGACTGGATTTCTTCTTGCTCAATTTGCCCAATAACTCCATCAAACCTACAGACGATGTGAAGCAAATAACAACCAAACAAAACTCTCAAAGGGTGAGTGGGAAGTATTTCTTTAAATACATTCAAATGTGTCCAAATTCTAAATACAATCTAACTCAAGTCTCTGTGTATTTCTTGTTTAGAAAGTAGTTGAGGACACCAAGAAGAAATCCGATGATCTGGACCGAGTCAAGTATCTGTCCCGAGATCTGCAGAGCGTCCTGAATGTGAGTTCAGACAATATCAATATTCTTATTTACAGTGAATTAAGCACGCACTTCCTTTTACTTAATCCTTAAATCCATAAATGCATTTGCTTTCAGGAGTATGACGCTAAGTTGAACACTTACCGTGGCACTCTGAATGAGGAGGATGAGGATGATGTTGACTATGAGGAACCAGTCCCAACGTTGCGTCAAACTTCAACCATGGCTAAGGCTGTACAGAGAAAGGTACACTTAAAAACTCATGACAAATCTCTACCTTTTCAATAAAAATGTTCCCTCCGTCACCTTCAACTTCGCATCTTGCTTTGCTTTCTGCAGGAGAAAAATCTACTGAACCTGTTCTCCGAGGTGTCTGCAGGAAACGAGCAGATACTCCACCAGTTGGGGACAACAAAACACATCAAGGCCAGGGTACGATATTATGACATCAAAATACATCCCTCAAGTAATAATTATTCCCATTGTTACGTGCCCAAAGTAATGACATGTATCTTTTTATTCATGTGCAGAATGAACAGAAAGTCAGTCAGGTGGTGGTCCATCAGCAGATGCAGCTAAAAAGCGACAGGAAGGACCTGGAGGCAAGTGATAGTCTGAAAAAGGAATTAAGTGAGGAGGTAGCCAGACGCTTGCATGCTGAAAGAGACCTGGAAACATACCGTAAGAGGTTTGTGTCTCTGAAGAGTAGGAGAGGAGTGGAGAGGTTGGAGGAGAAGGAGGTGGTGGAATACTACCATGACCCGAAACTGGAGTTGGAACTCCAGTCACTGAAAAGTCGGATCCAGGATGAGTCTTTGAAGAGGACAAGAACCCGTTCGGAGATCGAAATTATCAACGTGACGATCCACAAACTGGAAACACAGCTGATCACAGTCGAACCCAGACTGTTGACCAAGGTGATGACGGAGTATGAGAGAGACCCCCAGCTTGACAAAGACGCCGTCAGGATGAGAGAAGAGATAGAGAGGATAAGGCTGATGCTCCAAACGAGAGATACTGAGAAAATTCAAGTGAAAACCGAGCTCACGGTGTTGTCTCAGCAGAAACAAAAAACCAGGTCGAAGATCGTGAAGAAGGAAGTGGTGAGGCTTGAGAAGGATCCACAGATGCTGAAATCTGTTCTCACGTTCCAGACTAATATCTCAGAGGAGGATTTCAGGTCCGAGTCGCTCAACACTAGCATCTTTAGCACAAGGAGCCAGATCAACACATTGGAGAGGGTCATTCCCACCATCCAACCTAAGATAGTCACCAAGATGGTAAAGCAAGTACAGCAAGATCCAAAATCGCTGGAAGAGTCAAAGAAGCTGCGAATTGCCTTGGAGGAGGAGAAGGATGAGAATGTTATCTTGTTGAAGGACCTGACCACCATGCTGATATGTTATGGTGACCTGGAAAAGCTCAGACCTAAAGTTGAGGTCAAGGAGATCATCAATGAGATCTACAGAGTTGATCCTGAGACAGAAATCGAGCTGGTGCGTCTGAAGAAAGAACTTCAGGACTCTGTCCGTAACCGCACGAACCTGGAGTACGAAAGCAAGACATTGATTACGACTCTGACCACCCTGCGCTCTCAGAAACCCAAGATAGAGTACAAGGAGGTGACCCAGGAAGTGATCAAAGAAGAGAAGAGCCCAGAGGTTACCAGGGAATTGCAAAGGCTGAACAACCAAGCTTCCCGTCTGCTAGTCAACTACGAGACCACCATCGAGCTGCTGACCCGACTCCGCAGAGACAGAGATGAGCTGAAGGTGGAAAAGTCCAAAGTGGAGACCAAGCTTGTCACGAAAGAGCTCATCAAATATGAGAATGATCCTCTCCTTGAAAAAGAGGCTGACAGACTCCGGAGGAATGTCAGAGAAGAGATCCAACAACGCCGCAGTGTGGAGGAGTTGCTCTTTGAGATCCAGAACCAGTACATCCTCCTCGAAAGGCAGAAGCCCGAGGAGACGATAGTCATGCAAGAAGTGGTGCGTCTTCAGAAGGACCCCAAGCAGCTAGTGGAGCATGACAAGTTGAACAAGAACCTAGACGATGAATTGAAAGCCCGCAGAAAGCTTGATATAGAGGTCAGACAGCTCAGAGCGCTGATTCAAGACAAAGAGAGAACCCTGGCTCAGATGGACGAACGCCAGAAGAAGATTAAAGTGGAGTCCGAGCTCAGGCAGATCAAGTCTCGCATTCTTGAATTGGAAAACGCTCCGCCGCCCGTTGAGGAAAGGATCATCATCGAGGAGATCCTGAAAGTGGAGCGGGATCCTAAGCTGGACAGACTTACTGATGATATACGCGCCGACAAGGAGACCGAAGCCAACCATATCAGTCGTATTGAGAGAGAAATCCGCAACCTGAGGTTAAAGTTGGAAATTCTGCAAAAGGAGAAAACAATAGAGAAGGTGGTTTACAGAGAGGTTGTTCGCGTAGAGAAAGACCCGGCGTTGGAGGCTGAAAGGGAACATATGAGAGACCTCGTAACGCAGGAGAGAAATCTGAGGCGTGACCAGGAAGACGACACCCAGAACCTCCACATCAGAATTACTCACCTGCATTCGTCGCACTCCGTGACTTCTGAGGAAGAAACCAGTCTCGTCATCATCAAAGATACCATGCAGAGAGAGAAGGAGGATCTCCTCAGACAGCTCAAAATGCTAGAGGCTCAAAGAAATACCATCACCATGACCTTCCAGCAACAGTCCAAGCTGATCAGTGAGAGAAACATGATGTCCAAGCAGAGGAGTCTGAGGTCATCCTCTGACCTAGGACGGCTGGAGAAAGAAATCCTCAACGAGAAGGACAAAATACACCAGAGAGACATACTTATCATCGAGTTGCAGAGCAGTGTCCAGAGAGAGGACCACTCTGAAACTCACACACGGGAGACAAACCTCTCAACGAAGATCACCATCCTGGATCCAGAGACCGGTAAAAACCTGTCTCCCTATGATGCCTATGCACAGGGGCTGATTGATCGCAAACACTACATCCAGCTGTCTGAGTTGGAATGCGACTGGGAGGAAATCACTTCAACTAGTCCAGATGGCAACACAACAATCCTGCAGGATCGCAAAAGTGGAAAGCAGTACTCCATCAATGAGGCTCTGAAGGACGGTCGCTTGACCCAGTACGACATGTCCTGCTACAGGGAAGGGAAAATGTCCATTACTGAGTTTTCCCTCCTTGTCGCTGGGGAACCCAGCATGCCCGTCTTTCCTCCAGTCATCCATTCAGCCCATCGATCACCCATCAGAACCACCTCACCCTCTCCTTTGAGCTACATGCCAAGCTCCCTGAGGTCCTCCTTCCCCAGCCTCAACACTCAATACAACAGCTCACCTCAACTCAACATTCGCAAAAGTGGCAGTCTGAGCAACCTCACTTCCACAGCAGGTGATGAGTATTTCCCCATCTCCGGCATTTTAGACACCACCACTGACAGCCGCATGTCCGTGAGAAGTGCCCTGACCCGCAAACTCATTGATGCCGACACAGCTCTGAAGCTGCTGGAGGCCCAAGCAGCCTCCGGGGGAATCGTTGATCTCGCCATAAAGGACAAACTATCCGTCCACAAAGCAGCTGAACGTGGGCTCATTGACTCGAGTGACATGCACAAGCTTCTGAATGCCCAAAAGGCCTTCACAGGAGTCGAAGACCCCATGACCAAGGACCGTCTCGCAGTGGGACCCGCCGCAAGTAAAGGGTATATTCCACATGAAAATGCCAGGAGGTATATGGAGGCACAGTACCTCACCGGTGGGTTTGTGGATCCCTCGAAAGCAGGCCGCCTATCTGTCAAAGAAGCTCTCGCCACTAATATTATCGACAGCAAAACAGCTGATGAGCTACAAGATGAGACCACCTACAAGAAAGAGTTGGTGGACCCCATCACGAAAGAGAAGATCTCATACAAGCAGGCGATGGATCGGTGTAAGATAGACAACCACACAGGGCTCCTGCTGCTTCCTGCCGCTTCTACTGATGCCACGGGCGCCCCGTCTTACTCTAACTATCGCTTCTGATTCAACAAATATTAGATGTGAAGTTTAAGATGTTTTATTTGTCGTAGCTACTGGTGCTAGAGGGTGTGTGATATGGCTAACTGATCCACGTAAAGATAAATATGAATATGTGTGTACACTGGGAGGGAAAAACGACATATTTGGTGAAATTCTCTTTTCAGTGCTTTTTTGTTTGGTCTGCTGTATACATGAGGGTACTGTTTGTTTTATATGGTAAATTGTTTTTCGGCACTCTCAAGCTGCTATATCCTATGTAAGTGTTCAATAAACTCCAAAAGCCTCACATTAATTTTCCTGTTTTGCTATTTGATTTATAAACAATTGAAACGTCGACAGATGCATGAAAACTTATTCAATATCAGCTCATAAACTAAACACAACAAGACACCCTTATTACTATGCTTTTGAGCCATGCTAACAGCAGCTGTAATTTGTTTTTAGTGCTAATCATCAAGGGTTAAAATGCTAACATGCTGAGCTAAAATGGTAAGCATTACACCTGCTTAAATTCAGCCTGTTAGCATTGTCCTTTTAAGCATTAGGTGATGCTTAAAAGGACCTCAACTTTGGTGTGTGAGATTAAAATAGCCCAATTGCTTTTACAATAAATAAACATTGAATGTGTTTAATTGAATAGTAAAGCGGTTTAACGTTAGTGGCAGGTTGTGTGTGAGAGAGAATAAATAAGACAGCCCAATATTTAATTTTTTTAAAATTCTTTTTCCCCGCATATTTCGCAACTTTCCGCATATTTCGCAACTTCCCGCAATTTCACCGCATAAAATCACATAAAAACCCCGCATATTTAATCGCATAATCAAGGATTTTAGCCCGCATAATTAAGGATTTTTGCCCGCGTTTTTCTGGAGGGTCTAACTCCTAGTAATAGACTCCTGGTACTAGGATGCAGGGCCGTTTCTAGCTTTTTGGGGGCCCTATGCAAGATGCTGTTTGGGGGCCCTAGTTTTTACAGTTTTTTAACTATTCCGAAGCCTTTAAGATGATCTGTGGAGATTCATCAATCTGTTACACTTTAATAGGAAAACAGGCTAAATTCACGAAAACCAAGCAATTGAATATTACAAAAAATGATATTAAAAAGGTAAACAATAAGGCTCCTATGTCAATAAATGCAAGAGATGCAGCATTTTCTTTACATTTTTCATCTTCCTCAGATGTCACTCATTGGCTGACAGCCCAACAATGATTTGGACTTTATTACCCCAAAAACACAAGCCACAGCTTTGCTATCATTGCATTTAGCTGTGTTTATATCCTACATTGGATTTGTAAGCATATAATGCTTCACCGAACACAGCAGGGGGCTTGGCTGTCTACAAATAAAGACGGCTCATTTTAATTCTCCCCAAATACATTGAGTCTGAACCTGAACTTTGAATTCTCTGCTCCCATCATAATCTTGGCGATCTTGTTAAAATTGTGAATGCAGAATTAGAAATACTATGTAGCTGGTTTGCAGTTAATAAAGGATCCCTTAATGTGGCCAAAACAAATGACATGCATTATACGGATTTGCAATACTGAGATAGAAAAAGTTGGTGCATGTACATTTTTAGGACTGCTTGTTGACGAAAAACTCAATTGGAAGCAGCATATAAATTGTGTACAGACTAAACTGTCAAAACAGGTATTTTGTATCATACTAAGAACATTCTGGAAGAAAAATACTCTTTATAACAGTCTATTTCTCCCTTACCTTTACTACTGCTCCGAAATATGGGGAAACACGTACTCAACAAATCTACAAAAATAATAACAGTCCAAAAAAAAGTATTACGAATAGTCTGTGGTGTTGGTAAATATGAACACAACTCCCATATCCAAAAAAACTCAATATATTAAAATGTGTTGAGATAGTACAGCTTAAAACAGTACTGGTTATGCACAACATTTTCCATAACAAAATGCCTGATAACATTCAAAAACAGTTCCAAACCACAGCGTGAACATATGAATGTAAAAAAAGTCAATTGAAAATAAGTGTTCCCAATGTTTACTGACCAGACCACAATGAGTATCTCTCTTTCACAGGCAATGAGAAATGGGAGGAGCTTGCATAATTTCTGGTCACTTGATTACAACTATAAGGCGTTGCCTGGTTACCCACTGGCTCAATTTACCCCCTTCTTCCCTACACATGTGTAACACTTGGCATACTTAGCCCTGTCTATCGTTTCACTTTTTCTTTCCATATTTAACAGATTCACATGATCATTTAAAGGTCTCCTATCATACTGTTTTTCATCAATATATTATAGGTCTCAGATATATACAGGACATGTCTCTGAAGTGTTTGGCTCCAAACACCAAACAGATCATTGCAGCATCCCATAATCCCCTCTGGCTAATGGTTACACAAGCCAAAACATCGTTATGACATCATAAAGTGGCCAAAATCTGATCAGCTCATTTTCAGACAGGTTTTTATAGAAATGGATCAGGACAAAAAGAGAGAGAATCTTTGTTCCTGAAACTTTCAGAGTCTCTTTCCACAGAGGGGACACATGTTGATGTAGAAGAGACATGAAGAAGAGGGGACACATGTTGATGTAGAAGAGACATGAAGAAGAGGGGATACATGTTGATGTAGAAAAGACATGAAAAAGTGGATTTTGCAAAATAGGTGACCTTTAAGTAATAAATTGTCAAACTTCACGACAGCTTTGAGAATCAGGCATGTGATTTTAGTGGTTAGTTTAAAAACAGGCACTGATAACGACTTTATTTTGCCAACAGGACTGTGATTGTTGGTTCTCAGTATCGTGCAGTGCTGCCTGTGCATTATGCCGAGATGATTCTTTACCTCAACCGTGTGTCTGACCTTGCTTTTAAGTGATCTCTGTCAGTGCCGTCAGCCCCGTCACTAAGAGGCTTGCAGGCAGCGGATCAGTTTAGCACAGCCTCACCTGACTAATCTGATTACTTCGACAAGGCTGCTATCAATGTGCAAGACAGGACCAAAAAAAGACTAGCGCATCATACATACGTAAGGGACCATGTTCATGCACAGAAAGTTTAGCTGAGGTCGCTGAAGCTGCGCTAAATCTGTGTGCTGTCTCCTTAATGAGCTTTTTTGAATGTACATGTTCCTGTAATGGACAGTCCCCCTCCCCCCAAAGCCTTTCTTTGAAAGCTGTAGTGATCTGTACATGGGTAAAAAAAAAGCAACAGCACACTTTCAGTAGCTTACCACAAGATATGTTCAGCCCTCAGCTCCAGCTCACATACATAATGCCTTTATTAGCATTGCTAGTATGTAACACTGACCTCGGATCAGCCTCAGGGAGGGAGGGAGGGAGACAGACAACAAATGTGTCAGCAGGAGCATGAAGAAATATGGCTATTAAAGATCAATATAACAATGTACAGCTTTAACTACTTGAAAGATTTAGATTTGAACACACAAAAATAGATTTTAAATATGTTTTGTTGTAGATGAAATTATCATACATTCAATGTAATTACACCTTAATTATGTGGGTTCATAGAATATTAATTGGCAGAAATATTGCTTATTTTGTGTTTCACAATTCCAGCGTATAAAATGTACTGATTTTATTACAATTACTTTCTTTCTTCAATGAGTACTTTTACTTCCAGTACATTTTCTTGACTGAAATACTTTTACTTGAGTCCCCTTCTCAGTCCAGTACTTTGACTTTTAATTGAGTATTTTTAGTAGTACTTTTACTATGAATACTTCTTCCACCACTGCAATTTACAATGAACATTTTCTGGTACTTTGGTGTTACAAGCCAATCTTTAATTCTTAAACACTGGGTTTTAGCCGTGCTTGATTCCAGTTAGCATCTTTAGCTAGTGTACTAAGACAAGAGGACAGCAAAGAGCATCAGCGAAAGTCCCAGAAGGATTTGAGCTGCAGCTGAAGGGTTACAGAGGGCAGCAGATGCAGCAGCTTAATCACTGCAGTAGTTTCAGGCCTCAGGTGTTCACATGCACTTCTATAACTTAAGTTAGCCATCAGACATAAGTATTCATCATTCATATTACAATATTAATATATTATTTTATTTGTTTCGTTGGTGCTTTGTGGACATACAAATAATACAACTAGTGATATTTCAGAGGTGGAAGAAGTAGTCAGATATTTTTCAAAGTATTAGTAGTTTATAAAAGTAGCAAAAACACATTTAAAAAATACTCAAGTAATGTATTCAAAATCTTACCTAACTAAAAGTACAAAAAGATACTTAAAGTACCAAAATTAAAAGTACTCGCATCAATTTCCGAATCATATATATTAAATGGCTGGATTATGATTATTGATGCATTAATACGTTCATAACAGCTGCTTACAATGAAGCTAATTTTACAAACTTTATGTACTGCTGCTGGATATTTTAACCTATAATTGTATGTCAATGTTTTGTTTATTTATATGTTGTATTAGCGAATAATCTGAATTCATACAATACAATAAAAATACTCACGGTAAAGCACAAGTACCTTAAAGTTACATTATCTTATGTGTTTCAGTTGCACTAAATCTTACACTTTTTAAGGTTATTTAAAATGTGCTATGTGTGCAGTAATGTACTTAGTGTCCTTGTTCTGGCACAACAAATCCCATAAACCCTCACACCAGCAAATCATGATTAATCACTATCATTTCCCTTCCCTCCTAATAAATAAGAGAATAAATCGGTGCCTATTTTGACTGTTAAAATAGCTCATTAATTATTAAGTCATGTAGAAAGGTTCTCGGTTACAAAAGCCCCACACACTGTGTAAGCAGCACACTGAACACACCTCTACTTTCACCTTCTTTTCTTCTCCTCCTGCCCTCCCCCACACACTGTCTTCCCACACTTCTGTGGATTAAAAGCTAAAGAGGGCTGAGAAGTCGAGGCTTGGCAGTCCTTTCCCACTCTTACCTTTATTTTACCTGTTACTTATTCGCAGCTCTTTGCCAGTGTTTTACCAATCCAGACGCTGGTAACATAATCCCTGATTCTGAGGTGTGGGGTGTGTCCCAGTCCAAATCAGGAGCTCAATCGACTGCTGGAAATGAAGACATTTTTCATTTTCAATATGTCTCTAAGGACCTTGGAATCAAGAGGTGATAATTAGATGGGTTTTTTTATTTTAACTTCTCATGCGATTTGGATTACCTGATGATATTTTTTCCCAGTAAAAGGACAAGTACTTCTGTATACTTCTGTATACTTAATCCACCTGGAGTTTGGATGGTACTATTCAGCGACAAGCTGCAACATCGACATGGCTCCTGCAGGA